ACACTTTACAGAAATGCTTTCCGACAGTATCTGTGTAACATGGATGTCACAGAAACATTGAGATTGAATCGATGATCCATCCAACTGATATTCAGTATAGCTTCATTAAAAGAGATTAGTATTTTGCATGATATAATAATCATACAGGATTTTTTATCTAGAAGTAGCCTCAAGTCATATTTATCAATCACAATATTGATTTCCCCACACACATATTCATAATATCATCAAATTTTACTGTTAAATATCTTGGCGTTGAAAGTCACATCATATGATACAGAATGACAGGTTGCGTTACTCATGAATTTGGATAACCCACGTTAACTATAAAAGTATAAAAGTGCATAGACAAAGATAGTAAGTAGATACCATTTTTCATACTAAACTAACAAGATAAAAATGATTGTTTCGAGCATGTTGATGACTATGATTCTCTCTTCGCTGATAGTCAACTCAATAGCTACATCAAGTGAGTGAAGATTTGATTTCATATTCATCGTCTTATTATATTTTGAAAATCGAATAATTAATATTTTCGAGATGTCATGATGTCTTCTTTAATTGAGATATTGGGTAATAATGACACCAGTATGAGTGACTGAGCCTCACTTTCTACACATCGAAATGGATGTTAGGTGTGTTGTTTGTGATTTGGTGTGGATGTGGGGTTTACAGTTCAATTCTTGTCGTGTAGGTTTCGCCGCATTATTTCCAACCTGAGCTGACGTTAATAATGGAAGTTAGTAGCACATGTAGATTCAATGGCGAACAAACATCCGGATATCGTGATTTGTGCATTTTGACTGACGGATAACAGTGGGATGATTGTGATGATGGTGACTGTGAAGTGTGCAACACGAGTGAATAACTTAATGAAGTCGTTTTCCAAGCTGAATGGCGACTCCTTATTATGGGCATGTGGAGTGCACAGATTTATCAGTGAAAATTTGTCACACTTGAACTGCGTGAAATGAGTTTTACAAACACTCCTTCTTGTCCTGACATATTGGTTTTCTATTCGTGAGGATGTTTGTATATTTAGAAAGTAAATAAAACCGGTCGATATTTAAACAGATCGTTAAAACTCATGAGGAATCTTTCAAAAATTTATCTGTTTTGTGTGGAAGTTGGTCTCTTCGTGACACAATCAATGAAAGATAATAATGGTAAGTGAATAGTGTGTTTCGTTTTATTCTGTGTATAGGCGTCTGTCTAGTGTCTTTGACATTGAAGTCACTCGACTCCAACATAATGATACATTTTGTCTGTTGAAATCTATTTTAGAGCGAGGATATACATGCTACATATGCCACGACTGTAAGAAATTTTCGAAATACACTCTCACAGAACTTGGTTGTGGAGCTTGCACTGTAAGATGAAATTATTAATATTCATGAGTATTTCAAAATATTTCAAAGTAAAATTTACACATTTTAAGGTTAAAATACGAATATAATAGTATTATACAGCCATAATCATCCGATATTCATGCTGAAAATTCCATGCTTGTACCAAAAATACAGTGTGGAATCAAGCTGTAAATCAAAAATAAAATATTATTCCTCTATGAATCTCATTAATTACAGCTTACATTCACACGAATAATGAGCCATGTATTTCTAGATTGGCGCATATGATTTCTCAGTGTTGTCGATGTATTCGTCTTGTTGATGAAAATCAGCTATCATCCTAGTGGTTTCGGAATGTTTCTGTTGAAATATTTGTCTTTAAATGCAGTGGAATATTTTAATTCATGAGAATAGCTGACCACGTTGTTTCACGTAACTGATTGTCTAAATCTGACAACTTACCAATATAGTTTTATTAAATTAGCTTCGAGTACAAACGGCCTCACAAAATGTCAGTATCAGGTGAATGATCATCGGAAAAGCATTTCTAGTGAACAATATATAAGAAAGTGGAAATTGTTTGACTTCAGATTGTATAAATGACCTTCATCCAGTACTCAGTTGTATAAATTGATTCCATCGATCCACAGAGCGGAACGTAGTTTATCCTGGTCGAGTATTCTAATTTATTTCAGACCAGAAGAGGTAATATTGGCAGTTAACTGTCTGATATACACTGTAAAAGAATGACAGTTATTCATTGAGAAGTCTGTGGTAATTAATTGTCAGTATAGAAGTTACACGTCGAATATGAAGGTGAAGATTTAAGAAGAGACATGAGACATAGTAGATTTTAAATCATACTGGACCGAAAATGTATGGAAACAGCGATTTAAAAACAAATGCGATGCAGAAACAGTTCATTGACTCACTGTTCCTTCTCTGTCTGGTTGTCGATAGAATAGTCACATCATTCATATTCGGCAAGTGACAATGAATATCAGAATCCACATTCTTAAATGTTTACGGTATTTCAGATATAATTTCGATGACATCATAACCTTTCGCATAAAACCTCACAAAATAATGATTTTCTTCATTTCATCAATCTAGAAATCTGTGTTTTATGGTTCGGGTCGCGTCAACAGGGGTGTACGAGTTCTTGTGATGAAATAGAGAGAAGGAAAGATGCCAAAGTCTACTGCTGCAAAGGCAATTTATGCAACTCAAGCTCGAAATCCGATTTGAATCCGACATTTATTTATTCGATTCTTTTCATTTCTGTCACCACGATACTTTTCAGTAAATTTTAATCCCTTGAAATGGATCATTTGTTTCATATCAATTCAGATATTGCTTTATGCAATTGTTTCGTATTCCAATATAGCATAGTGAGTCAATTTGTTTTATTCCTTTACGTTCACAGTGGAACATAGGGCCTCAAGCTAGAAGTTCGGCAGCAGTTCTGTTTATTTATGTAGGATGGGGCTGCTAGCCTCATGCCTACTCTTCTCTCTTTACTAGTCTTATTTCTGACTTAGTGAGGTGAAAGAGTGCGTCGGCCGTGGATCTAACCTCGAACCACATGCCTTGTTGATGTGTATTCTACAACTGTGCCACTAAGGCACATCTCAAGTATAAATGTACTTTTTGAATGTGCCTTTTCTCAGTTGATGTCCACATTGATGCAAAAATTTGACTGCAAATTAGCTGGAATAAGAAGGTAGCGGATGTTCATGCATAAGTTCAGCTTTCTAGACTTTGTTGTACTAATGATGAAATATGCTGAAAAACCATTGATAAAGGAATAGAACTTGAGCACTGTGGTAGAGTATAACTCGATTGTGGGTAAAATTTGTTTTGATAAACTCTCACAGTGTCATACAATAATCATCACACATCAAGATATACCTTTATATCATTATGAGGAATAAATTGTGCTCAAAACGTCATCAGTAAACTTTCCTGTTTAACATTGTGAGACTTTGTCAAAATAAATTTTACGCTGAAAATCCATCAAGTATATATAGGAATTTATAACGGTAATGGTAGGATATAAGGAAACAAATTCATTATTTGCTCATTACAGAGTTCGAAGTGAGAAATCATTACATTGTCCTCAGGAAATCGAAAATATTCAAATGAGAACATGTGCGCGTATGACTTGCTTGAGAGCGTAAACGGCAGTTAAGAAAGCAAATGAAATAGCATGATAGAATTTACTGCTTATTGATAGATAGACAGATTGATTGATTTGAGTAGTTGAAAAGCACACGTATCGTCTGTTAGCTAGATTGAAGTGATTCAAACATTTGAAGTGGTGTCACACTGTTTCGTTAACTTTTCTGATTGAGATTTGAGGGATGGAGAAAGTTGATAGATGGGAGAAACAAATGAGAAAAATTGTTAATGAATACAATGTTCATTTAGTCCTCAACAGTACTCATAAATATTTGTTCAAGTGTCGGTGGCACAACGGTTGAGACTCGCCAACCAAGCACATGGTTCGGGGATTGATCACCTGTCGACACACACCTGATATCAACTGTCAGCCTGCTAAATTTGGGCTACCGATATCACATGCTGAAAATTTCATACTTTTACCCAAAGTACCTTGTGGAATCAAGCTATGATAAGAATAATAAATTACAAGTACAACCTATTAGTAAAGACGGTATTCGTAACACAAAGGACGATTTTAAATGTAAACCCTACTGAAACGGACCGAAAACAGCTACAACCCATCTGGATAAATTTGAACCATAAAGCAGAGGTAGATTATGTAAGTACAGTGCGATTGAACAATCTTGAAGCCGGAAAATATGCTACAAATCGAATTAGTTTCTTATATTGGCTTATATTTCTGAGGTCTCTAACACCTGTATATAATGTATTTTTGTATAACAAAGATTGATGATTCACACAAGCTCGGACCAGCCTGCGTTCTGCCCTTGTCAATGTGGGCCTTCCGGCGGTATTGATATTTGGTTTTCGGACGAATTGTTTACTGCCTTCAGGTATTGGTCATTATCATTATTTCCGGTTACATGAACCTATATAGGTGAACGTGTGAGCACTAAATTATATTGCTAGTCAAAACTTAAATTTGACTAAGTAATTCACAATCCTCAATGTGTATTGGCCAGTTCCAGGCTTTAAAATACCATTAGGATGGTGTGGTTCTCAGCTGGTGGGGTTCTCATCCTCAAGCTCAAGCTTCTCAATACATGTGGCTCAGTGTAAGCTAATCGACGTTAAGAAATCAGTTGACTGTATTGTCTCTGACGACATGATTCTGGTGAGTGTACACACATATCATCCCAGGCGAAGTAGAAACGAAGGATTAGAACTGAATGAATATGATGCGTGTATTGTACGTTTTACAGTTGAAAAATCTCAATGGTTTCGCATACCGAGCAGTGAGAATGTTCTAGTAGTTGTGAACTATTTGTGACTGCAAGACGGATTTATCCTAGTGTCCAATCAGCTGGCGTGTCATTAGAATGTGAAATCGAGTCAGAATTTTATCTTCAGTTAATGTGGAGTTCGCACTTCAATGCATTATTCACATGTATCATGGAATGTGCAGAGAAACATAAATTTCTCAAACTATTTACGACTTCCATCTACTTATCTATTCGCCAGTTGCCTGGTGTTATGAAATTGACTGGAAAGTCAATCCAGGTGAACACAAATAATACATGTGAAAAAGCATCATGGTTGACTGTATTCAGGGAAGACAACTGGTGTTACTTTTGTATTACTCCTGAGTCTAAATTTCTCCGAATGACCTTTCGACATCTAAAATATCGAAATCCAGTTCACAGATATCCCTTCTGGAAAT